GTAAATATTCCCTTTGTAGAAGCTTTAGAGCAGATGCCCAATTATGTGAAATTTATGAAAGATATTCTGAACAAGAAAAGGAAGTTCATGGATAACAAAACTATTGCACTTAGCGAAGAGTGTAGTGCAATTATTCAAAAAAAGCTTCTTGAAAAATTAAAAGATTCTGACAGTTTCACTATACCATGTGCTATCGGTGAAAATTTTTATGGAAGTGCTTTATGTGGTTTGGTAGCCAGCATTAATCTTATGTCTTTATCAATCTTCAAAATATTAGGATTAAGAGAAGTCTCACCTACTTCTGTAACTCTTCAATAAACGAATCGTTCAGTTAAGGGAGTTATAGAAGATGTGCTAGTAAAAGTTGATAAATTTATCTTTCCCGTAGATTTCATTGTTTTAGATATGGAGGAAGATATTGAAATACCTATCATTTTAGGGAGACCATTTTTAGCTACTGGAAAAGCTATGATAGATGTTCAAAAAGGAGAATTAACGATGAGAGTTAATGATCAAGAAGCTACCCTATGTTTATATGTAGGTTCATTTTAGCTGAACTTTTTGTTATCCTTTTAGGATAGCTATCAGCTTGCCCTTGAGCTTGAGAAAGCATGGAAAGAAAGCATTAAGAGCAAAAAACCCATGAACATAACAGCTTCCCTAGAACAGTAAGTTTCTTCGTCTCATAACGGTATTACAAGTTGGGCAGCCTTGCACTGTCTGGTAACGGATTCAAGTGAGATTTAACTTAAATTTTGTCTGACAGCAAAATCTGTCCTTCTAATTTTTGGATTTTATAAATTCAGTTTCTTCTTAGCTTTCTTCTCAATTTTGCCTTAAATTTTGGATTTACTAAATCCTGCTGTTGGTAGAATTTTGTAAATCTCAGGATTTAGTAAATACAGATTTATAAGATTTACTAAAGCAGCTAAAGCCGTTACCAAAAAGCCCCTAAAACTTGCAATTTATGAAACATTAAAGAATTTATAAAGAAGTTTAAATTCAAACGATTTCTATTTTTTAGTGCCGTAGCCTTATGATTGATTTTGTTTCATCCATCTTACATTCTTTTTAATGGAAAAATTGCATTTATTCGCCTTTCCTTGTTAAATCCAAACACCTAATAATTACATTTAGAACCAAATACCAAATGTGAAGTTTTAAAATAAAATGCATTTGCTTTTCCCTTTAACTCGACATTCGAGTATCTGTTTTGCATTCTTTTATTAGAATCAGTGGCATTTGTATGTGTGATTTTTCAGATATGAGAAAGAAAGAAGACTTCGTGTGGCCGTAATATATGGATTGGCAAGAATGGCTGCTAATATGGCTTCTACTTACAGGCCTTATTTGGGTGTAGGGCTGGGACCCTTTTCGGTATGATGTCGATTTATTGTCACCTTAACTTATAATCATGCTTTGGGCTACATTTCAATATCTCTTAACTACTTCTTTGGATGAATGATATGATACCATGACAGTTTTTGACAAAGTTTAAAATACCACATCCTGGGAGAATTGGTGGCAGGCTTGTCATCAACTATGTGATGCCTTTAATGTTGAGCTGGGTCCTAGGTGGCAACAGGTTTGTCATATGCAATTTTTTTATTTTTTTATTTTTTTATGGAGGAAAATGCCAAAATGATTGCTTGACTCTTTGCAGGGAGTCATTTTGGTTCAGAGTCTATAAATTTAACAAATTAGTCCCCAAACCTCGTTGTAGGACTATTGCAGCTCATATTAATGAAGTATGGGGACTAATTTTATATTTTTATGGCTTGGATGTCATAACATTAAGTTGCAGAAAACACCTCTCTTTACTATAGGTTTATGGTTGCTTATCCCCTTTCTAGATCCTGTTGTGGCATACGCTTAAAGAGGCCTAGTCTACTAGTGCACTCCCTCCATGTTATATTCTATGACAGTCATAGATTTGTCTCATAAGATTATTTTATGCCTACATTACTTTTATATTGTGTGAATTAGCATCCAATTAGCAACACTCTTGAAATTCAATAATATTCCTAATGAAACAACTCTTATTATCATAAAAGGTCCTCATGTATACTCTCATATGCTTCTCTTATACAACAACAACAAAGCCTTAATCCAACTATGTGGGGTCGGCTACATGAATCCTTCTTCTCCATTGCGTCCTATTTAGTGTCATATTTGCATTTAGTTCTAGTAAATTAAGATAAAATCGTGTACATAAAAAAAAATACATTTGTAAGCCCAAGTCTTCCTAGGTCTACCTCTGCCTTTCTTAACACAAGTCGAATTTAAAACATCTACTCTCCTAATCAGATCATCTAATGGTCGACGATTAATATGACCAAACCATCTAAGGCGACTTTCTCTAAATTTAGATCTTAATTTAATTGAAGATAAATGTGTTGTGCACACTGATCACTCTGCTATTAAATATATGATGCAAAAGAAGGATGTCAAACCAAGGTTAATTAGGTGGATACTTTTGATGCAAGAATTTAAACTTGTGGTTATTGATAGAAAGGGAACTAATAATCAAAATGTTGATCATTTGTCCATATTAGAAAACCATAAATTATCTGACACTGACAATGAAATTACAGAGAGTTTTCCTGATGAACAACTTTATAATAATAATGAGTGGAAAATACAATGGTATGCTGCTATTGTTAACTATTTTGTAGGTGATATTTTGCCACCTATGCTGACATTGCAACAACAAAAAAAATTTATTCATGATGCGAAAGGATATTTTAGGGATGAGCCTTATTTATATAAACAATGTAATGATCTTATTATGAGGATATGTGTACCTTATGAAGAAACTGATCTAATCATTCAGAAATGTCATGATTCTGAATTTGGAGGACATTTTGGGATTGAAAAAATAGCTTATAAAATTTTACAAGCTGGATTTTATTGGCCTACTATCTTTATAGATGTTTATAGATACATAAAAACTTGTGATCGATGTCAACGAGTAGGCAATATATCTAGAAGAAATGAAATGCCTCTGAATTTCATGTTAGAAGTTGAGATCTTTGATGTTTGGGATTAGATTTCATAGGACTATTTATTCCTTCATTTGGGAACTTATATATATTAATTGCAGTAGACTACGTTTCTAAGTGGATTGAAGCACAAGCTTTACCTCGTTGTGATGCTAAAAGTGTTTCAATATTTTTAATGAAAAATATTTTCACTAGATACGGAATGCCTAAAATGATTATCACTGATAGAAGATCCCATTTTAGGAATAAATATATTCAGAGATTGGCAGAAAAGTTTAATATTATTCATAGAATCTCTACTGCTTATTATCCGTAAACCAGTGGGTTAGCTGAAGTTTCTAATAAAGTGAAGTTTCAAATACTTGAAAAGACTGTAAACCCTAGTAGAGTAGATTGGTCCACTAGACTGGATAACGCATTATGGGCTTACAGGACTGCTTATAAAACTCTTATTGGAATGACTCCTTACATACTGATTCTTGGAAAGACTTGTCACTTACCAGTAGAATTGGAGCATAAAACATATTGGGCGATTAAAGAATTAAATTATAATTTGAAGGATGCTGGTAAGAAGAAATTGTTACAATTAAATGATTTGGAGGAATTAAGAAATGAATCTTATGATAACGACAAAATTTATAAGGAAAAACTAAAGTTATGGCATGATTAGAAGATTAACCAGAAGAACTTTGAACCAGGACAAGAAGTTTTGCTTTACAACACTAGGATGAAGTTATTCCCTGGGAAACTGAAGTCTAGTTGGTTAGGACCCTTTACTGTGACTCAAGTTTATACTTACGGAGCTGTTGAGATTGAAGATTAAAAGACTGGAAATAGATTTAAAGTAAATGGACATAGATTAAGACCGTATTTTGAGGGTAAAAGACCAAATTTTAAAGAGGTTTTAATGATCAGTCAACCTGAATAAACCTAAATAGGTCGGGCTGACGACGTTAAACCAAGCGCTTTATGGGAGGCAACCCATAATTATCTTTATGTTTATTGCGATTATAGTAGTTTTCATTTGAAATTATCGTTAGTTTGTGGTAGTATTGAGCTCTACTACTCTTATTTACCCTTGAATCATCATAAAAATTGGATTCATAGAGAACAATTGGAACACATTCGGACCAGAGCGTAACTGTATAATTTTTGCCTTGGTCGCCTACGGCGCCATCGATGCCGCCGACGGAGGGTTTTTCCCGAGTGTCCAGACAATTAATTACAAAAGGCTTGCCGACGGTGCCCTCAACACCGCCTTGAGTGTTCAACCGGAGAAAGTTCATTAATGCGGAAGCGCAGCGAATCTTCAACAAGGTACTGACGAAGAAAAGATTAATCAAGGAACGAGGATTCGTAAATCAAGGATTGAATAACCCCTTGATGGTAATTGAAGAGATGATAGTGAGGCGAAGATGGGAAGTGATGTGCTATAATACCGCTGTCGTGGTTGTTCTCGTGGTGAAGGAATTTTATGTAAATTTGCATGGAATCAACCTTGGAGTCGTCTATGTGTGAGGTTGATGGATAACTTTTACTCCTGCACGGATCAGTGAATTATATATGATCGAGAATGTTCCTGTCTGTCTTTATTCCAACTTCATCCCGATAAGAAACTAGATGATTGAGATTTACCAATATTTAACAGACGAAACGGAAGACTAGGAAATGAGAGAAAATGGGTAAGTTAGTTTTTCTGCAACACTATTAAATCCCGTTTTGAAACACTGGCACTTCATTTCTGTAAAATTGTTACCGACAATTAAGATTGGTAAAGTTTCCAAAGAAAGTGCTATTCTGAATTACTGCATCTAAATGGGACTGTCGATCGACATTGGATCAAAAATTATGAAGTTTTTTTTGGGCCTGATCATTCATGGATCAACTTATGAGCTTGGACACCCTTCCACAATTTTCTTACTTTGCAGTCAATTCGAAGTATCCCATGAAAATTGGGAAAATGTACTTCTACCTTGAAAGCCTTTGGACCCAACTGAGAGATTCTCATCCTATGAAGATGAAAATGACATGACTATTATGGTGGATCAATTATCTCAGAATTCACTGTCTACCCAAGCTTTAGTTCCGGACAAGACTCTGGTGATCCTGCGCACAATCAAGAAATTGGAGAAGGAGGTACAAAATGTCATGATTACAATTAGTAATATCTCTGATTTCATTGATCATCCAGACTGGAGGATGAAAGAACATTTTTCTTACTCTGGACTTATGGAAGATAGTTTGATACGGCTGATGAGGAGGATGAAATTGATAGAAGAGGATTCTACTGAAGAATTTCCATACCGACCCTTTTATAACCTCTTTGTACATGTGCAATCAATGGGTGATCTCAGAGGAGAATCTAGTACTGAATCTGGAGAATAGTAGAATTATATTGCTACCTGTCTGTCTATGTATGTAATTTGATTTGAACTTTGGATTTGCTTTGCTTTAGAATTATGCTTTTAGATCTATGTATAGTTGAGACTAAGCATATGATGTTTTGTTTTCAGCATTCTGAGTGTTGTGGCTTGGATTGTGACGCTGACGTATTAAGGTTGAGAAAATACCAAACTTAGGTGTGTTATGTAATGTAAATTGTAACTCTTAGAATTTATATATAATTGTGATGTTTTGTGTTGTGAAGGTTTATTTGTGATAAGTACATCATTTAATCACTTAAAATTATGTTTATAATGATTAAACGGAAGTCATTGAGGCTTGAAATTGATCAAAATCTCAAAAATCCATGAATTGAACCAAATCAACAGAGCCCGCCGACGGCGCCCTCGACGCCGTTGACTGCGGACTTTTCTCGAGACTTAGGATATAATTCTAATAGAGCACGTCGAGGGCGCCGAATACCCCTCCGATAGTGAGATCCCTAAAAAACACCTTTAACTGCAATTTTGACCAGTCAACCGCCACTATTCATCATCCCATTCCTCTGAAAAATGTGATTTTTGACCTAGGGCTTGAGAGACCTTGGATCGGGAGGCGATTTCAAGGCATTTAGACACTGGATTTGATCATCTCTAGGTAAGAGCTTCACTCCAAGTTAAAAATATTTGATTTTCACCATAAATTTCTTCCACATTGAGGAGATCCAAAAAAATTAAGTATGTGAAGAAAATATTGGGGAGAAATTCATGGAACTTAGTGTTGAACTCTTAGAATTACTTATGGAAGCAATTATTTGCATATTTGAAGTATATTTTGGAGTTGTTCTATAATTTGATTAGATTGAAATGGCTCCACGACAAAAGAGACGACTTGAGTTCAACGAGTCTCGCTTCGTCAATGTGAAGGTTCAATCAAGATTTACTTTAGTATTTAAAGGAAAGAAGTGTATACAAGATCGAGTTTTTGAGAGTCCGGGAGGAGAAATTGAACGAGTTATTACCAAGCGGAGGTGGGAAAACTTTTGTTACACCACCAATAAAGCTATTTCAAATATTGTGAAAGAATTTTGAAGGAGTTCTACGCTAATGTAATTTATTCTAATGACGGAAACGTTCAAGTGCGTAAATTCCCTGTTGAATTTAATGTTGCCCGCATTAGCACCTTTTACGAAGTCCCAAAC